ATGCTTTCGCACTCGAGAGGAAAAGCTCCAGTCGGTGACGAGAGCAAAACGAATTTTGGCGGGAATGTCGGCCGCGTGAAATATTATCGTCCGGTTGAAACGTGCTGTTTGTTCAGAATCGTGATTAGCTTCCCAACCACTGGAGGATATTTTTCAAGCTTCGAAAATTTTCTTCTCTACAAAACAACTCTAAATCTAGCAACTCTCTGTATCGTCGTGTATTTAAAAAAAAAAAAAAAAATTAACTTGTTTTAAAAGAACGACTGCTCACATTTATTTGAGCTCGTATTCAGAGAGGGATTTTATTTAATTAATATCTCGCAATGATTTATTTCCACGCGATTCGAAACTTGCATCATAAATTTAACAGAAATATGCATTTGCTTCTCGGTAAAGTCCTCTTCATGATGAAAGTCACTCGCGATCTCTGTTTAAACCGAACTAAACGCGAAATAAATTACTAGCTGAATAAACGAGATATATATATATATATATGTTGCCAATAATGTTATTCTCATAAACGAATGGTCACTTACGCAAAACGATTGTTCCAGCGAATTACGAGTAAAACATAGTCGTCGATGCAATTTTCTAAATGCACTAGTAACTTGCTAAAGTGATACTCATGTTTGATGTTTCCCGCGATCCGCGATGAATTATAAACGGAATACGCTCGTTCGCAGGTAACGAGCGTCGAAATAAATACATCGTAATCGGTGTAAATTTCTCTGCACGCGCCGTTGACTATAGCATTGACTATACACAGCCGCATGGCAATCATAAATGCAACCCTTTGCTCTTTGAGTGCTCAGCCGTCAATACGATCATCAATATGCAACTCACTCACTGCGAACTGCACCGCTCGCACGAGATTACGTTATACTCCTGATTATGGCGCCAGCGAACCATTTTCGAGATGGAAACCAATTCATTCGTCGGATATACATATCTATGATCTAATGGCGCTTCCATATTAACTGGTTTCTGTATGGATTAAAGATATTAACTGTAATTAAGTAGAATACTAAAAACATAGGATTTATACCTGTTTGCATTAGAATTTATATTTGCTCATGCATATATTAGATTTGGCATTTCTCTTTCTCTCCTTCTTTCTTTTTTCTTTTATTTCGATTTTCCTCATTTTATTTAATTATTAATTATATTTTGTTTCCTTTATTATGTATTATTTTCTTTTTATACACTTCATTTTTTTATAATTATTGTTGCTTTGTTTTTTTTTTGTACCTATATTCTTTAGAGGACTTGCCCTAGAACGTTAATAAATGCTTCATCTTCCTCTCTTTCTCTACCCTTCATTCACTCTCTCTCTCTCTCTCTCTCTCTCTCTCTCTCTCTCTCTCTCTCTCTCTCTCTCTCTCT